TAGGCCCGAGTGGGATAAGCCCATCGAAAAAGAGGGGTCGGAGTAAATAGCAAGTGTGATGAGGCCACACTCGGTTTGCCACAAAAGGGCACACATTTTGATGATTGGAATGTAAACAAGTGAGAAGTTGTGATAGGGCGGCCTGGGAGAAGAGGGTAAAGAGTAGATAGATAGACAGTGACAAAAAGAGGAGTGATAGTGTAACCGTTTCCGACAGAACGGTTGTCGAGGCATTGACTTCACTTGTCTCTTCGACGAGTTCGTATACTTTCTGATGCTGGAAATCATGACAACTACTATGGCAGACGACTTCGGACTAGGTGCGTTGTACTAAGTCACCCTGACAACAAGACCAAGTTGCGAAGAGATCAACCCACTTCTATACATCGAAAGGACATTGCGACCATACCATAGGCCACAACATCTTGGTCTTCATATCCTCGTTTCTTAAATTGACATTACCATCAAATCCTAGGGTACCTGGATGTTCTTGTGTGTGTGAAATTGCTGGTCGCCCCCGTGGTCAAGCCTGTCACCAGTCACCTCCCCTTTAGGCACATATATGAAAAATGTACACGACACCTACGCAGACACACTGGTGACCTCTAACTAGGCCACCAACAGTTATATTATACATCTCACAGGTGAACTCCCTAGGTAAATATTTGGCTAATATAACGTCCCAATCATCTAACTGCAGTCGCCTTTTCTTGATTTCTCTCTGTTTATCATGAGCAGCGCCTTGGTGATGTCACTTCCTGTTGTCAAACCGTTGTCCTGGGTCCAAGTGTCCTCTTTTTGATGTATTCGTAGAATCCCTACGTCTTCTCAGGCAGTATGCGAAATTATCGCTGACTCTTCCCTCTTCAAATTTCCTGTTAATCAGATTTCTTTGAAGGAGGATGTCCACAGTCTCCCTGATCTTCCGTTTCCTGGTGTTTTCCCCATATGGGACCAATCTTTCCATTGCATTCCAATCAATTATGTGGCCGGTAATAACGATGTGTTCAGCTATCTCCGGTCTTTCCGCATCCATTTTTCTTCAGTCATTGGTGTTCTTTGATCCTTGTACTGATTGTCCTTCCCGTCTTTCCTATGTATTTTGTTCAGTCCTTGCAGTTTATGCTGTAAACTCCAAAGCACTCCATTTTGTTGACTTCTTCATGCTGTGGGCAAGTTGGTGAAGAGGGTTGTCCTTTCCTTCATTATTGTACCAATGTTCCACTTTCCTAGTATTGGCCGTAGCTTCCGAGCCGATTCATAGGAGGATAGACATCCATACTTTTTCCTCTAATCCTCTTGCATTCCTTTCATAATCTCAGTCTTTTCATCTGTTCATCACCATCCATATGTTACGTTGTATCGCTTCATTTGGATATCTGTTTTCAAGATACACTTAAGTTAGTTTTCCCGATTCCTCTTCCCAGAACTCGAAATCAATGCGCCGTCAGCTTATGACCATACTCCCGAGTATTCCAATCTTTATCCCATAGGAATGGTCTGACTGGTCCAATGCTGGTAATCACGAATAATATGGAAGAGGACACGGGACTAGATACGTTCCGCAAGGTCTCCCTCACGCTCCGACCGAGCTGTGACAACAAGGACGAATCAACACTATAAAGCTAGAGACTGCGAACAAACAGAAGGCCACACCATCTTGGTCTTCATAACATCGGCTTAAAATTGTTTACCATGTTTTAAGCTCCATCTGGTATTAGAAAACCAACAGTCTAAAATATGCTTTAGCATGAGGAAACTTCAATAAATCATACTTAAGAAACTCTTTATGTTTTATCTGTTGTAAATATTAAAATGCCATTAGCCTGCCGTTTATCTTTCCCCCCACTCCCTCTCGATTTTCTGATTTAACTCGGTCCTCCTATCCGGATGTCCTTCATAAGTCTGTATATCCGCTCTGCATATTTCTGGTTAACCGATTTAACTCGGTTCTAATCCCAGTGTATGTTTTACTCCAGGCACAATTTGTCAAAAGACTAGGTCCTTCCGATCAAAATACGGCTGATTTCTGTTGTACTGTAGCTGTTTGGCTTTAATACGACGTTCAGGTTGATGCAGTCCACGATATATCCTCCCTCGACCTTCGAATTTCTTCTTCATGCACTTTCACATTAAATTAAGTATCTCCAACAATGTAATATCAGGAGATTTATCGAAGCTCAATTACTCTTCGTATCTGCAATTTCTCAATCCGTTAGAAGAACGTATACTGTAGGCTCACAGAGCAGAGCGTCTAGGCTCTGATTCTCAGGTTTGCCGATATTAGGCATTTCTTATAGTCCCTGACGATGCTAACCACAATGCCGGCGAAACGTCTGGGAATTTACCAAGTCCATGGTCCGACTCTGGGAATTATTACTACTATAGAAGGGAATTTAGGCCAAGGTGCTCTCAAATAAATCGCCCTGACGACACGACCAAGTTGCGAATAAAAGTCAGCCAACTACTTTTAAATCGTAGATATGAAAACCAAGATAGTGTGGCCTTTGCTTGATCGCATTCTCGTTTACTTCTACTCTTAAATGTAAAAAATAAGCCTACTATAAAATATACTTGTATCTTTAAACCTTCTAGCCTGCCCCCCTAAACAATATACCTCAATTATATGAGCTTTATTCACCGCATTCCATTTAAGGTTATGAAGGACTGGTCGTTTATCTTTCCCACAATCATGAGTAGAGTTGACGTTCCCAGTGAATTTCCAATGGCTTTGCTTTCACAAAAGGCGTTATCACACGGAAACAGACATGATCGCTGAATTTTTCCCACAATGAAAGGTGTAGGACTCACGTTTAAATGGCTTTCAATTATCCTCGCTTCCGAAACGGCAATCACATACAGAATGCGCCGCTGTTTAAACCTCGCCTAAATCTCATCTACACCCCAAGCGAGATTAGTGCCCTGATAGAGCTGCGTGTAATTTTGACACTAACTACTGTGTTATACTGCCACGAGATTCATTGAACCACAGAACAGAAATGAATTTCAAGGCAACCTAGGCCTTTCTTATATCGCACTTCTGTGGTTGAATTGTCGATGATGCAAAGTTGTACTTATTATAGCAATCGACAACATTACTTATTTTTCGTTTAAGTAGGTTTTTGCGACTACCAGTAGATCATATATTGTATTTACCATATTTCGTTAAAGGAAAACCCAAGAAACCAATATTATTTACCTTAAGCGAAATAGGGTATATACATTTCATATTGATGATCTATTAGTAGTCTTGAAAACCTGTTTATAAACGAAAAATGGTAAATAGATGTTTTTTTCAATCAATAACCCCACTATAAATGCAAGTTGAGAGAGGCCTGACTTGCCTTGAATGTCAAATCTGTGGCCCATTAGCACCCGTGGCATGGTAGTGGAGTGGAATGGTAACGTAGTAATACTACTTACGACCCAACATAGAATCCCGCTGCGAGTTCTGATGAGACCTAAGCCAGGTCGAGATTGTAGTCAACTCTAGTAGAAATAGAAGTCGTTTGACCCTGGTTTCGCAACTCGATCATATTGGTAGGAAGACTTAAAGGAACGCACCCGGTCCGGAGTCCATAGTATGCATCATCATTTCCAGAGTAGGACCGTAGACATGGTACATTCCCAGACGTTTCGCCGACATCGTTAGTGAGTCTTGCCATTCGTAGCACCATATTACAAACTCGTCAAAGGGACAAGTGAAGCTCATCCTTTGACCAAATATGTGCTAAACAGTTATGGTATCTTTCTAGTAGAGATAGCCTTGTGGGATGCAAGATTAAGCGAGATTCAATGGCATCATGAGGCCTGCTCATTTCATTGTTGGAAAGCTCAATCTTTAAATCACCTTAAGCGACCTAGCTCTTACTCAAAAAATTATTGATAATTTCGAAAAATAATTTTTGAAGATTACTAAGAGCTAAAAAATAAGAAAATGTGATTCATACAATACACCATTTAGAATAGCCTATAGCCAAACAAAACATTACATATTGAAATGTAAAAATAAGCATAAAATTAGAAAGGTCATTTTAATCAACAAAACGACAAGCACATCATGTAAATGGAATATGGGAAATTAAGTGGCTAATACTTGGGGCTATTGGATAATCCAGAGTAGCAGTAAGGGAGATGAATTCGGAAATACAAGTTAGCAGAAGGCATTGTATACACACCAAATATGTGCGAGCAAATGAAATGAGTGGTTTTTCTAGACTACCAGTAGATCACGGTTTGAGTCCCACTGGGCGTGCCAATGAGACCTTGGCGAGGTCATGCTGCAGTCAATCCTGGATGAGAATACCTTTTGGGAAAAAAGGCTCAATTGAAATGCAAGGTGTACTCATATCATTGTGGGAAAATTCATCTACCGGTCTTTCACAGCAAAATAGGGTGAATACGTCTCATACAATTATTAGTATTCGGATTTCACAAGAATACATTATTTAGGACGCCATCTACCGATCACAGTCCCGTCTCCCTTATACGTCATCCACAACCATTTGATATGTTCGCAGCCACACAACTTATCTGCAAACATACAGAGTAAATAACCAAATCCTGAGATGCTTCAATTAGTAAAGATGTAAGAAGTAGGTGGATTTGCAGCTGGCCCTCTTTCCTGTCTTCGTGGTTGGAAAATTTTTGTAAAGCATAATAGTAAGCTCTGATATGGTGCCTCATAAGAAACAACGACCTAGCATGAACTTATCAGATTCAAGGGACAATGCTCTGAATCCTCTCCACCCATCCAAAATGAAATATAAGATAAGAAACCATGAAAAATTCTTTATCTATACGTCAGCCATTGCAAAGGACCTAGAAGCCCCTTATTTCAAGATCTCAAAGTCATATGAATAGGAGGAAAGTTAGGACTGAATGCACGCAAGAATTCTATATTTCTCTAAACAGTTAAAAGCAAGCAAAATTAAACACTCGGTGCCACTAGAATGAGGTCAAGATTTGAGTGTTTCCTTTCACTACGGTTGGCTAATCGGCCCCATTATGCAAAATCATATCAAGCAATTTATACTGTAGATATTTATTAGAGAGAAAACACTTCCAGTGTCTCGTAACGGTTACGGCAAAATTTGAAAATCTAATTAGCAAATAACAAGGCTAATGTACGAGTAGACATAATCAGCTCGTTAGTTCCGGAAGTGAACACAGACTACTTTCTTGATCCAAATTAAGGAAAAGAGATAAATCACACATAAAACTAAATGGATTCTCAGACAGATGTTTTCTCGCTCAGCCAATCTCTGATCCGTCAGATGAAGCTCGACAAGAGCTTGGGAAAAGGCCTACTTTTTATGACAAATGAACATGTTTTGTATCCAGAGCGTAATGTAAACCTTTTAGCG